CAATGCACAGCAGCTTAACTGGTGTGGAGCTGAGCAGCCAGCAAGCGTAAGCTGCCCGATTCAGAGGTGTCAGGAATACGATCCAATCTACAACTGTCTAAACACTTTCATTTCGGTATGACTGCTTAGCTTCAATTCTAACTGGTACTGCCTTTCGAGTGCTAGGTCATGGCGTGCGGTGGCTGTGGCCACTGTTACTCAGTGGTTATTTAAGGATGCTGTTGGCCAATCTTGCTTGAGGATACCTGCTGGGATGAGCACAGTAACTTAATGTGAAAACGGAGAAGCTGGTGGCTCCAGAATGCACACAAAGAAAAGCAGAGGTTTATTTTATCTGCATTCTCAACATTTATTTCACTCTTGTACATGTTCAGTTGTATGTCTTTTTAAACATTACCCTTTTTCACGTGGTAGTGTAGGGCCAACCATACAAACTACCAGTTCAACGTGTATAGTAGACTATGGGGAAATTGATTTTTTCATGTATCATTCTGAATAGTTGAAATGTATATTTGTACAGTCTTTTAGACCTATTCAAGTGAAGCTTATGAAATTGTTCTTGTGTACTCATCATAGATTTGTTTCTCTTTTTTAGTGTTGCCCTGCTGTGTAATAAATGCTGTATCTAGTTTACCTAGCAAAAGCTTGAAACTGCTATAGTATGAATTTTGACAAACTTAGTTTTTGCACATAACCTTGTACAATCTCAAAACAGAGGCCAGCAACATAAAAAAATATATCTGGACTCTATTGTATTATAGAATTTTCTTGTTCTGAATATCCTTGACATTACAACTGATGACAAACGTATTTCAGAGCCATTTTCTGAAATCTTTTAAGCTAAAAAAGAAAAATCACATGCAAGAAACAAGTTTGCAGCTACTAATTTTGACACCTTTTAGATCTGTATAAAAGTGTATTGTGTTGAAGCAGCACACTGAAACAAAAGTGCTGTGTTTTGGATATTTAGTTTTATCTTTAGTTAACACCAACAAGGTGTTGTATTCATTTATACCATCTAATATATGACACACTGTTGTAGTATGTATAATTTTGTGATCTTTATTTCCCTTTGTATTCTTCATTTAAGCATCTAAATAAATTGCTGTATTGTGCTTAATGTAAATATTTGCTTTATTACATGCAAGTGCTACATTCCTGTTTGGTAAATCCTACCTTGCTACATTCTTCCCCCGCCCCCGGCCATGCTCCACAGCTCTGCTGGGGCATGTCTGTGTAGTACTTTCTTACTGAATAGACTGATCTCTTCAAGGGTATTGAAAATCCTACAAAATTAACTTTGGCTGAATATTTGTCTTTACTATTTAGCATTTTAGAACACTAATGCATAAATAGAAGTGTAGTGTTTTGTTGCTTCTGCATCCTGGAGAAACAAGGTCTATGAATTACCTGCTTTCTTCCTCCCTTTGTACTTATGTGAATGGATATCACTTTCACATATTAAAAAGTTACCTAGAACTACATCCCTCTCTGAAGCACTACATGGTGAGGGTAAATGATAGCAAAGGTATTTGAATACTTAACATCTAAACATGAAGGAACATGTCTTGCAAGCTACAGCCTTGTTTCAGCTTTGAAGAAAAGATAATTTGAATATATAAAAAAAAAAGTTTTTTAAAAACTGTGATTGGTTTGGTCAAGCCAGTCCTGTGTTTTGGCAAGTGTGCAGTACAACAGATAGACACACGACCCAATCCTCATTGAGATAATAATGTACTGAAGGGAATCTAATTGTTGTGAGAACAAAACTATTCTTAATTAGAGCAATAAGTTTGATTTAAGCCTATGTCTAATATATCAGAGTACCTACTTTCTGATGCTTTACAATAACTAAATTGACCTGTAAAAGACCTGTGGAATTTTCATTAATGTAAAGGGAAAAAAAAATTCTGTGTTCATCAGCATTTTAAACAGCAAAGCCATTTCACAGAGATCTTGAGAAAACATTTAGCTATCTCTGTCAGTCTTGGGTAGGTATAAACTGTACTTTCCACTCCTGTAACAAACAAGCTGCTGTGTCAGCCAAAGCTGAGAACACGTCTATGCTCTCATGTTCTGCTACTAACTTGTGCTGCTGCCACTCTTCGGAATGAGCACTTCTGGGTTTTGTTGAACCAATTCTGTGTGCGAAGTGAGGACTGAAAACAGTTACCTTTAGGTGAAGTTGGTTTAGATTTGTTTTGTTCTTTTCCCCTTCGCAGAAGGGATACGTACTTCTGTTCTGCTTTTTTAACTCAGCAGAGTGGAAGTTGGACTGGCTCCCAGTTATGCGCTCAAGTGGCAGAAGATACATTTTAAGAACAATACAGGAAAAATACTTTTGACATTTATATCAGCAAAATAGCTCCTTGTGTCTCTCTGCCTTAAAAGAAAGCTTGAGCCTCGACTCCTTTTTTTCAGCACGCTTTCCAAACTATCTCATTGAAAATAACTTTTCAGTAAATCAGCTGAGAGTTTGTCAGCTACCACTTACAGATGTCAATGGGTTGGTCATTTTTTTCCCAACAAAATCAGACAAAGGGCTAGAAAAGGTTATGCCTTGCTAAGAAAACTTGGTGATGTTCCCTCTTCCTTCTGTCGGTTGCTCTATTTCACAGGAGGCTACTGTCTGAAAACTTAAGACATTTCAGAATTTGTTTTGTGTCATTTCATCTAGACTTCAAGGGATTTTACAAATATATTCTTTTAAGAACTTGAAAAAAAAACAACCCAGTAGTTCAATAGTAGTACAATCTCTGTTAAGCAATGAAATAAAAAATGGGGTATCATGAGTCTGCATCACATCTGCCTCAAATTCTGTCAATGTTAATTTAAGATTAGTTAAAGTCTACTTTAAAAATTCTGAGCTCCTGTTTGTAGTCAGCGAATAGTAAGACTATAAAATATGAAGTGTTTAGAAGTGCTTCATTTGCTAGGAAATACCATTTTATAGAAAGATTAAATTAAAGGTCTTGCACAAAAATAGTCTGTCCTACCAGGACTATCAAGAAGGATTGGGGTGGTTGTTTTAGGTGGCATAAACTAGCATTTCCAACAAGTTACTCTTCAAATCTGGATTTTAGCCTAGCAAGAATTCCTTTCTAGATTTGAGGCTAACCACACATTTTTGAGGAAGTCAAAAAGCAGAAGAGGTAAGTGGCCCAAATAAAACTGGAGGAACCGTAAACCCAGTTTGTGTAATCTTAGCATATCACACCATTATAATTTTATGAGATTGAAGTTACCCAATTTTTATATACATTATTAAAGTTTCATAGCAGAAGTCTAGAAATATGCCAGCTGTGCTTGCAGAGTAGCCAGCTCAAACTGGCATTTAAATTTTTCAGTATTCAGTGCGAGACCTTGAAAACACAAGTCTGGCCAGGCTTTGGCCACCACAACAGACCAGAAGACCATTAACATCAGACTTCTCTAACGGATTTGTTTCAACGCATTTACCTGAACTGAAGTGTGCTTTCTGCCTGAAATCTAAAGGTTGTAGCAGGTTACTAGCACAGACATTGTTTCTAGACACAAAACAGCTTTGTACAACAAAAACTCTTTTCGGAGGTGGTGCGACCTGTAATTTGACTTCTTAGAATGCCTGAGAGGGGCAAGGACAGTTTGAGATGGTTGTTACGGGTAGTTACATTTTATATGATGCTTTGTTTCTAGGGGAGTTCATAGGGGCTTGTAATAACTGTTACTCTGAAGCATTGTTCATGGCACTGACCTGCAGCTGAGATGTAGTGCTTCCATAAGTACACTTCAACTTGTTCCTACCATACACTCCCTCCGTCCCCTCCCCTCACTCTGTGACATGCAGCTACAGCCAGTAAGATTTCCCCCAAACAAAACAGCTATTTTCCAGCAGGGACAGACACACAGCTTCTGCTGAATTCCCAGTTCTCTATCTGGTGCATCAGACACTAAAGTCACACTTGCTCTCAGCATTTTCCTCTGGGTACTGTGACTTAACCCTTTATCTGCACTGGGATTTCTACTCAAAACGTGATGTTGCAGAAATAATCTGCGTTGGAGTTTTATTTCACAAGCTTTTAATCTTACTGAAAGTTCAAGTGACATTTAACACTGCCATCCTCTGTTGAGCAGTAACATTGCTGTAGCAAGAACTTGCCAGTTAATACTTGACCCTTTGATGTATTTCAGGACAGAAACCTGAATACTCACCCAGTATTTTTGTAGGAAAATTGTATCGTTCTTACCACCAAGAAATTAGTAGGTTTCAAATGTCCACTAATACAGGAAACAGTTTACCATTTTGTACTACATATATTTCATACACTGCTATGGCATTAAAACAAGTTTATTTCATTTTTTAACAGAACCAAAAGATTTCAGGAGTATATTGTGTGTACTGTCTCTTCATTTCTGTTAATAAAGAAGCTGATATTTGGATAAACAGGTTGATATAACTAAGAGTATTTTGTTCCTTTCATAACTAATTTGCCTCTGTAATACCAGCTCATCTGTATTAATCCGTTACAATAACCTGCATTGCAGAGGCAGAGACACTGACTATGTCTGTCTATTGCTTTATATTTTAATTTGACTTTATCTTTCATCATCAGTCCTACTAATAAATATGAAAAGGTTGAGTTCATTTATTTCTGCATCAGAAAAGCATTGGTCTCCATGGTTACTCAAAGCCATGTAGCTTTACTTTCACCATACGCTTTTTTTCTTCCCTTTACAGAATCTGCATTGGGTCCTCCATTTTGAGTTTTTCCACAGGTATTTTTAAAACGAGTTCTTATTTCTATTTCTCCATATTGTACTTTATGCAAAGCCAATCATCTGAAAAGTATATAACGTTCCCTTCCTAATGTTCATTATTCAGAGAATTGAGTGGGTTTTGTTTCCCTAGACATATTTTGAAGTTAAAAAAAAAAAAAAAAAGCTACAGGTGCACAAATGAACTATGCTACTCCTGGTCCTGGCTACATGGCATCTGCATCACAAAATTTCACATCCAAAGGTTCGTAACAGCTTTGCAGAAAGTTTATTTATACCATTCAAATTATATTACACAACAGCTTGTAAACCCCTATTCCTAGTTTGAAATAGAGTGCTGGAAGCTTCAGACATGTGCAGTTTATTGAATTTTAAAATTTTGACATTGACTTCACATTCTCTTGTAAAATCTGAACATTTGTGCATTTGTGAAGCTGGCAATATTAGCACACTACTTGACAGTTTTAACATGCTGTACTAGTGCACTCTTCAACCTTCTGAACATTTTAAGTATAAAAATGCGAAGGTAAACAAAGTGAGGTTTTGTACATTTTCTTCATTGATGTAGGAAGCTTATCAAGTAAGTGCAAACTACTGTGATCAGATATGAGAATAAATGTTCCAGCCTCCATATCACTACAATATGATCAGAGAATTTTAGCTTCCCTTAGAGATGCTAAGCAAAGATCTGAAATATAACAGTTGCTTCTTCCTAATATCATAAAGTATGAACTGTAAGAATAAAGTCAGGCAGCCTTTCCTAAAAACCTTTTGTAGTCAAAAATTAATTACTTTGATACTTAGTACCTACATAGTTCATAGGAAAAAAGTCTTCAGTTCGGTAGAGTTTTGGCAGGTCATAGGGGCGTGCTGCTGATGGAGGCTGTTTCTGAAACAAGAACAGGACAAAAAATAATGTTAAAGAACAGTAAATAATACTTTAAGGAGTTGACCTTGTAGAAGAGACATGGGGTGGGGAGGAATCAGCATCCTGGAACTGAAGTTACTTTCCAATACAAGATAATTGGCTTTGTAAACAATGCTGAAAATGGGAGAAGTTGTTTACTTTCACACCTGATTCTAGAGACTTTGCAATCATCTTAGCTGGATTAATACTGAGCAGATAAAAATAGAGTAGAACACAGGGGAAATTAGTTTTAAAGCACAGAAAAATGCAAATGAATTGGTAACACTGGAAAATACTGACTACAGAAGAAATACAGAAAGGGATTTGGTTTTGCTTCTGGGGTTTTTAAGAATTCAAACAATTGATTAATCCTGAACTGAGGAGATAAAATCATTTTTCTGTAGCGCAACAATTCAAACCTCTAGCTAAAATCACAGTCTCAATGGAAAATAAAAAGCCTCTCTTTCCCATAAAGCTAACGGTCTTCATCCTTTAAACTCAACATACTTCCAGAGAATAGCTTGCTATTTAGATGGAATCCTCACATTTATTTTTATTTAATTCTCATTCACGTGTTTCAAGCTGTGCATCTGGTTACAAACATTTCTTGAGAGTATTCACTGCTAATTCTGTGGTATAGATACTGGCTCTCCATATACAACTAGGAACAACTTAAGAAGTAAATATTCATTTATACTATGACCTAGTACCAGCTGCTGAAGCTGCACTGCTGTGCTGACACTGTCAGAACAGGCAGGATGAATGGGAGTTCTGCTGACAAACTCTGGATTTGCACATCTCGAGGATCAGCATCATGTTCTTGAAGAAGGGCACTTGCAAGCTATTAGGATAAACAAACTTTGCTACGGGGAAGAAACATCCTTCTAGTGATTATCATCAACAGATGCATGTGGTTTTGAAGTTTTTACGTGCAGACCTAGACAAAAGGAGATAGGTTCCTTTTAATGGGCAGAATACTAGAATTTTTAATGTAAAATGTAACTACATTTTTTCATCTAAGATTGAAAATCAACAGTCACAACCACTGACAAGATGAAGAATCTGAATTGATCATGTAAGAAACCACTGGTGATGAGGTTCACCTCTGTAAAATATAAAGAGGGAAAAACCCTAAGCAAAGAAACTGAAAAAACAGCCAGCTGTAACAATTCACAGTGAAATACTAACATCTTCTGTATTTCCCCTAAAATAAGAGTAGAGAGAAAGAAAGGTTAAAAGTCACTCGTATTTTCAAAGTGAAATAATCTGTCCTTCATTTCTAGGGTAATATTGCCAGTGGTCATACCAGGAGAAAACAAAGACGGAACAGTGTTATGAATTACAGTAATTAAACTTAACAAGCTGGGTGACAATTTGTTTGCAGAAAGCCCTCATCAGAGCAATCAAATTTAACTAAGGCCATGAGCCTCTCAGACGAAGTTTACAAGTAGACTCAGGATTTCCCATAGTTCATGAAACCACCATCCCACTCTGATTTGTAACCAGTTATTTTAGAACTGCTTATTCTTAGCACCTACTATCCAGAATTCCTCCAAATAGATGATGCCATGATTGCAATGAGAATCCACCTTTTTTTTTTTTTTTTTGAGATCCCTGCAATAGCAATCTCACGCTTTGATGAATAATACCTTATTACTTATAGAGTACTACAGATGTTATGATTCATAGTTAAACTTGGTCCCTTCTGACATGCAGATACTATATGCTTTCTATATATCCTCCTGACACAGGTAATTCTTTTGGGTGACTTCCTGTAACTGTACCATAAATACAAAAGTCACTCCTCCTGTTTCACATCTACCCACACCAAACTTTGATGAAGGAACACTCTTGTTACCATCTTACATTAAAGAAACTACTTCAGTCTTCATTATCTTGAAGTATAGCTGCTGAACCAATAGTAAATGAGAGGCAAAGATACCAATCCATATGACTTGACAGTATTTTATGAGGAGGGGTCTGAGAAAGGCTTTCTTTCACAACGGTACAAGTGCCACATAGGGTTAAAAGACAAGGGAAGGAGGAATCTCTGTGCTGTGCACATCACACAGATCGAAGATGAAATAACTCCTTTGTGGTCAGGCTGCTGTGAAACTTGAAGGACAAGTGATAGGGTTGCCTGATGGGGGTGGTGGGGGGGGAGGCAGGGGAAGAAGAGGGTGAAAATGTCTTAAAATTCCAAAGCCTATTGAAGTCATCAAAAGAGAAAGGTTTAAGTAGTAGAAAATATCTTTTCACCTCTAGTTCCCTTGATTCATGTGTGTGACAATCTAAGAGAGACCAGATTATGGCCCTTAGAAGGCAGGTGCTCATTAGGATGGCATCCATACAACACACAACCACTGGTAGCACTGACTACAACAGTAGCTTGCTGAAGGCCAAGTGCCATAAAACTAAACTGTGTTTACATCTAATCCAGGCTATAAAGGCCTTGGGCAAGGTTCTGCCATTTCACTGGCGTCTGTAAACACCTACAGCACCTATTCAGTGCAAATACACAAATCCTTATTTCTCCTCTTAACCTGTCTCTTAGGTCAGGCTTGAAACAGGAGCACAGTGAAGCAAGCTTGCACTGTACTTGAAAAAAATCAAGCTGGAAACAAATCTCTGTTGAGATGCTCTATACACCTGTATTCTTCGTCACAAAACTGGAAATTATTCATTAACTTTAAGATCCAACAATGAGTGAATAAACTGAGGAAATAAAGATTAAAGGAATTACAGAGGAATTTAGCATTTAGAAGGCAGTATAACATGTTTAGATGAAGCTAGATCAAATAGAAATTAAAGGATTAAAACATTTGCGAGAGTTTTTCAAAAATAAAGTACGCACAACAACTCTGCACTTGCAGGCAAATAAAAGATATGGCATGTAGAATCATGCCTGAAAGATTAAAACTTCTGGTGGCAGAGACTTCAGTCAGTTGCATTTTAACAGGCAGCCAAGTTATCCAGGGAGACAAGCTATGTGACATAGTATCTGAGGCACTAAAAGCACCCCTTGAGAAATACAGTTTGAAGCCCCTAAAAGCCAGGCCTCCAGCTGGTAAAGCTAAATACACAAGAGCAGTAAGAAAATGACCCATTTAAGAGTATACTAGTTACTCTGACAACTGCAATCCAGCATCAGAACAGCAAAGCTGGGTCAAAAGGTGATCACTTACAGGTCGTATCACATCCAGGAAACAGCTTAATTCACAGACAGTTAGATTCTACCTTCTATTGAGAAAAAAAAAAAAAAAAAAAAAAAAAAAGCTGGGCTGAATGTGTTTACTTGCTTGGTTTCATTTTCATACCCAGGCTTAAGTCAGGATGCACAGCAGCCTTACATTTAAGGCAAGTGCTCTAAGAATTGCTGATCTGGACACAGAAAATTGTTTCCCTTTTATCCAAATATCTACAAGATGTTCCAGAAATGCACTTTGGTACTGCTTTTATAACGCAGACATAGAGCATCTACTCAGGGACCACAATCCCAGCCCAGCAAGACAATTCATCTGCCTGTTCCTGCCTATTCTATTTCCCAACAGCCTCCCAAACAGATCAGGAACAGGTAGCACTTCACTTGCTTACATGTATAATAAATACACCCAGAGAATCGGCCAGGCAAGTGCACCAGGTATGGTCTCTTTGTGATACAGCACTGCTACAGCACCAAGTGCCTCAGCAGAAAGGTTTGTCATCATTATAATGATTTCTGACCCTATTCCAAACAGTATGTTTATCTAGGCTATTTGCACAGTGAGTCTGACCATTACAGCTAAAACACTGAGGTATTTTCACAGGCAGAGAAAAGAGTAGATTACTTTAGAATAGGAGAAGCAATATTATTTCACATAGAAAAAAAAAGAAGTTAACCATGCTGCGTCTCTGGAAACTTAGCTGGCAACTTGAACCTCTAATCTTATTCTGACAACAATCATTCCAGATCCACAACAAACGTCTCCTTTAAGGTTACCGAATTTAAAGCCTTGGCAGTTAAACTCATATATATTTATAATAACTGTACTGGGGTAGTTATCGCTCTGAACTGAGCTCCTGATCAATTCCACTGCTTCAAGGCAGAAAGGAGCAATAATAAAATAGTTCGCCCACTTTGCCTTAAGTACTATTCATGTTTCCAGAGCTCCTGAATCCATTTTTCTTATATCTGCTGTCTACCACCTGAAGCAGCACTAATATACCTTTCCCTTGACACCAACAAACGTATTTGCTCCTGTTAGTTTACAGTGAAAGACCGCCAAGCTTTCTGGAGTGTATCGGCACTGCTGCAGATATCCAAAGGAAATGAAGCAGCTCAAGGAGTACTTTCCTACAGAAACCTGCAACAGAAATTTGAACTCCATTCAAACTTATGAAAGATAAAAGGAGATTCTTGGCTATCTGGCAATAATTATTTTTTAGATTTGGTCATTCTTACAGATATTGAAATCAATACCTAGAATGTAGAAATCAAAGCAGAGAAAAAACTGAAACCTGTTTCTTTGGGAGCTACAAAATCAAGCAAACATTCTCACTTTTTTCCGGCAAAATTACAAAAACTACAATTTGGATTCCTCTCAATCTTAGCTTTTAATATAATTTTATATAACAATGGTATAATAATTTTCATTTCTACTAAAATAGATTTAAAGTTCAACATTAAAAACATCTTAAAAACCTATCAACTTGGACTTTTCCAGCCAGCCTTCTTTTGATTGCTGCCAGCCCATCCATCACAGTGCTTGTGAACTTGAGAGATGCTTTTGGGAAAAGTATGAACTAAAGAACCAAAATGTTCTTCACACATCAGCTCAGATGCTGAGCACAACAAATCCTCACCCCTATGTTCTTCTCTGTTAAACACTTGCCATGTACAAAAAAAGGAACTTAATAAGGATGTTTTTAGAAGAGAACAAGGGTTCTGATGTCCAATACCGCCACATCAGTGAGACTTCTTTTGCTTAGGCTGGCTTCCACGT